TGGGGGATATTTTTCGGAGAATCACCGCTCAATTCGGGGTCGGGGGGTCGGGTCACCGTCGGGCCGGTTTCAGATTGCCATCCCTAACCATAACCCTTCCTGTCCATTACAAAATCCAAAAGCTGCCAATCCACGTGGTCATATGCTTTCTCAAAATCAATCTGAAAGATAAGTCCCTCCTTCCCTAGACTTAATTGCAATTTGATTAAAGGAAACTGATACTTAACACATATCCTCCACACGTATTAACGTGCATGTATCCATGACACATCATCATCAAGTACCTTTAAATGTATCAGCAGCTCAACGCGACATGTGGAGAACTCTTACTAAACAGCATCACCTTGCGCTCTATGATGAATGATCCATAGAATAAAACACTGAAAGCACTTGATGTGTGACTCAGCTTAGATGAACCTTGAATTAGATGTAAAGAGGCACTTTCTTGATAGCCCCATTAGAACCAAGAGTTGAGTGACACCTTGGGCCTCCATACCTGGGCTGGAGGCAGGGCCTATTGGCAGTGCAAGAAATTGGGGCCTTATGTCTTGGAGGGTTTGTCGCAACACTTCCCTCCCTCGTGGATCTAAGTGGCTTGGCTTTTGGGATCCCTAATATTTTCTTAAAATTTCAGTGCAAGTAAACCACCTTGCAAGTTGCTTTTTCTAAATAGTATTCTTCACTCTTCCATTTGATCTTACTCTGAAAGTATTCCAGTTACGGTGCTGTCAATCTGATGAATTGTACTTCCAATGACCCCCTCACTAACTTGGCTGCATTGTCTTTTACCTAGTCCTCTCCAAGACTCTTGGTGTCACGACCCAAACCCGCCCCTAAAAGTTTAGGTCATGACTGGCTTGCACTTAGGTCTCAAAGACAAAATTTCAAAACTATTTATTCAAATACGGGGCCTTAAGCGGAAGCAGATACCAAAAATAATAATAAAGTCCATTGAACTTGTGCATACATGAAGACTTAACTTAATTTAAGCGTTTAAATACACTTCCCATATTTACATATGCAAATCTCACACACTATATAGTAGCCTTTAAACAAAATTAAACTTGAAAAATTATACTACGACTTCCTGGGTGGCTTGACAGAGAGGCGAACTTCGGTATAAACTCTAATGTTGATCCTTCGATGGCTCACCTACATATATATATAGAGTAAAAGGGTGAGCTAATGCCCAGTGAGTAATAATAAAGTAAAGAGGTTAATGAATGATGTACTTAATATTAGGAAAACATTTTTCACAATTCTGAAACGTATTTTAAATCATTTTAAAATAAACATTTATCGTTTCAAAATTCATGCATTTTCAAATGGAATACATATCTGAAACCATTACAAAACATTTTACGTGGTACGTGGTACGCCCACTTATACAAAGGGTCAGAATCACATTTCAAAATAGGACATCCATTCATTCATGTAAAATAGCATTTCATAACATGAGTCATATAGCGATGTAAAAACATTTGTATTCATATCACATTTTCTGAACGACCTCAGGTTCACGTATTACAAAATGTCCTCGGGCCCAATCATATATCAAAATGGCCTTGGGCTCAATCATATATCAAAATGACCTTAGGTCCAAACGTATCACATCATGTCACTGTATCTTACATGGAGTAGATGGAACATCGACATGTCTCCACCTCTCCTGGGGCCCAATTCATGTATGTATGGACCTAAGAGGTGACTCGTACGGACTCTAGAGGTGACTCCCACTGTGGCACGTAGTTCCGTATAGCATTTTGTTCCATACCAGAAATCAATAGGTCTTAAAGACCGAATGATTCATACCATGTCATAGCATAAACGGAATGGATAAACGGAACGGCCTTGGGCCCACTATATCATGTTGTACATAAATTGAAATAGATAATGAAAAATATATCTTTACTATACTATTACTCACAGTGATGGGCTTCTGGTAGCAGTTGAGCGATGCCCTCATCTTGACCGACAAACACAATTGCATAACACAACATATCGAAACATGGAATTACTCTCTTGATCAAATTTACTTCTCTTAATCTTTTCTTAATCAAATAAACCGATCCCTTACTTTGCCTTAACCAATTATTTATGTTGGTTCTAAATTCATTAGTCCTCAATGGCTCATAATTCATATGTTGGTTCTAAATTCATTAGTCCTCAATGGCTCATAATTCATATCGAAAATAGGAAGAAACGAAAGGAAACTGGCTTAGGAGAGGAAATAGCATGAAACGGTTAGAAAGAAAGTGAATAGCCTTCACTAATTTAAACATATTTATTTGTGTACTGCGAATTTGGATGTGAGACCACCCCCATTGGAAACTAGACTTCCGGGGTTTGAATTTAGGCTCAAGAATCGCCTAAAACGGAGTTCGGATGAGAGATATACCTATTTAAAGTTGGCTGAAACAGGTCAATCCGCACGTGTGGAAATCCAAACCGCACATGCGGTTCTGGGCTTCCAGAAGCAGGTCTGAAATTTCAGTACGTTCTAAAATGGTTTCTTTGCATGTTCTTGAGCTAGGGCTTAGTGAAACTTAACATGAACCTTATAAATTCATGGATAAACATGGAAATAAGGTTGTTTTCCAAATCAAAGGCATCAAAACTTGGTTTACCTCAAGAATGAAGAATCTTTAACCAGAATTGATAAACTCTTTTTTTGTTACAAAACCTAACTTTTCTTCCAAATTCATATAGATCTTCATTTCATATGTAATTTTATGAGTTCAAACCATACAAAACCTCAAGATTAAGGCTTAACTTCTCACAATCAACTTCAAGATAAGCAAATATAAGAGAATTAACTCTCAAATCTAACAAATGCAAGGAATCCATGTTTAATTTCTCTCTTTTCCTTCCAAGTTCATTTTTAACCCAATCTGATTCTAGTTTCTTTCTATTCTTAGCTGTTAGGAGTGTTAATTACAAGAATTAGGGATGAAATCTTACCTTGGATTGCTTTCTAGCTTGGATTAGATGAAGTTCTTGGAGTATTTTCCTTTTCCCCTCTTTTCCTCTTCTTTTCTTCTTCCCTTTCTTCCTCTCTTTCGGTTCTTTATCTTGATGTCTCTCTCTCTCTCTCTCTGATTTTTTATGTTTTTGTTGAGTCTAGCAAACCTATACACATATATCTATATATAATATTTAATAAAATCAATTTAATTCATTTTGAATCAGATTTTTACAAAATTTCATACTAGGCTGTAAAAATCATGCTGATCATAAATATTTAATCGGTTTTGTTTTCTGGCACCTCTAAGGTCCTCAATTTTCAGTTTAAAGTTATAAATTCAGCAGATTTTTCTACAATCAACAAATATAATTTTAAATCCTTATAATTCACATATTTAGACATGTAATTCCGCATCAACAATATAATTAAACTAATCATGACTAATCATAAGTCCCACAGAATTTAATTAACCTAATTTGACTTCCATTAGAGTCCAATTAATTATATTTAAATTTATCAGTTTGAATCAAATTTTTTAATCAAACTCCCAAAAGGCTCCCAATAATAGATTAAGCTTATTTCCATCATCAATTTTGATTTCTCACATCAGTAAGGCCTTCAATTTCAAGTCAAACTCAAGGTCTCTGTCAATAAATTGCATACTCAAATTGAATACCTCATAAATAAATTTACTTCGTAATAATTGTAATTCCCACTCCTCATAACATAATAACTCCAATTCGGACCCAATTCATCAAATCTCAATTTACAAATTTGAATCTAATATTTAATTAAACCCTCATATTGTCCGATACTCAAAATTAAAATAATTCGTCTTACTACTTATGCTTTCTTGAGTCAATCAGGCTTTCAATTTTTAATTCTAAATAAATCTTCCATAAAATCGTATACTAATCAGTCTCCATAATTTTCATAATTCCCAAATTAAATCAGAATAGTAGGTAATGAAATTCAAATTTCTGTCATTAATTAAATATAAAGTATTAAACGATGGGTTTATTACACCTGGAGCCATAGTGTTTTACCACGCTCCCACTTCACCACTTCAATACAGCCACAACCTTTAAGCTGACAATTTATTTATATGTATTGTTGTTAGGATTTTAATAGTTTTAAAACTTTGAAACAGTGGTGTAGGTCTGTACAACCATATGAATGTGCTATAACTTAAAACAATTTTGTGTGTTTAGGAGGCATCAACTGCCAAACTAGTAAGCTATGAATTGGACAAAAAATGTGTTGACTTTGTTGTACCGTAAAGATAAATCAAATCTTTAATTCAAATTTTCAAGAATTTTGAATCTATTGATCTTTCAGTTCATCTTCTCTTATGAAGAATTGGTGACCATATTTTCTATTTCTATGTACATAAATCAACATTTTATTATATGATTTTGGTTTGGGATACTGTCTGTTGAGGCAAATCAAGGCTCTAGGATAGATAAAACATATAAAACTAAACGGAAAAAATTAAATAATGAATCTAATTGATCACACTAGGTTTCCACTGTTTCTTTTTGTGTCAGGGTGATACTGTTTAAGAGCAGACTTCGTGTGTGAATCTATTCAGCAAGCAGGCCTCAGGACCACTGAGTTTTCAAACTTACAATGGATGACCACCATGATTGATAAAGTCTACTTTATACAGTATGAAGAATCTCCAAGCATATTTCCCAAGTAGATGAAAGTTATTTGACTTTGTACCTATGTTTCAATTTTTCTTTGACTTGCTTGCTGTTGAGCTAATCCTGTTGGCTTTGCTTGCAACAGTCTTTAGCCTACTTTTTCAAATTACTTAGGCCATTCAGACATGGATTTAGGACATGAAATAGTAGTCTTGTTGTACAAAATCAACAGTTAAAGATTAATCAAGAAACCAAATTATATCTTATTTTGACAGAGAATTGCAAACCCTGGAACTTGGATTATTTAGTTCTGCATTTGTGAACAGTTCTTCACATTCAAGTGCCTGCTCAATATTTATTTAAACTCGATCCTTTGAAAAATTGTGCAGGGTGCAACTCCAGTGGATCAAACAACTGTCCCTGAAAGTGCTGTGCAAATCTTTGTCATGTCACAGAATGTTACAGATAATGTCAGGGAGGATTTGGCTTGGGGAACATATGTTCTATTGCGCAATACAAACACCATATCTGTGGTATGACCTAGACTCTACTGTTTAAATTGGAACTGAACACACTGTTAATGATATATAGCTGTTTTAATAAGAAATTCAATTGTTTTTCCCCCCATTAAAATGCAAAATAGGTTGGTACTTTTCTTTTTTTCTTGAGGTTATAAAACTCTTTGCTAATGTTAAAATTTTCAATATTATAGCTTATATCGCTTCAAGATGCATTATGTGTACGTGGCTACTGGAACACACCTGAAGATGTATCAAAAGGTGATGCCCTTGATTGGTTTCAAAAACAGATTCAACGGATTGGCCTCTCTGATTTAAAGGACACCCTTTATTTTCCTCAGAGTGCAGGTAGGCGACACAATTCAACATTGATTTAGATCTTTACAGTGGTCAATAATTCTGAACTCAGAGTTATCTTATTTCTTTTTAACACATTGATCACGCATAAACATGATGTTATAGGATATCTGTTATTTTAAATTGGTATTAGCATTAGTATTAGTGATTTTCTACCCCACAAGCACCCCTTGGCTCAGGCCTTGCTACCTTCCTTAAGAAGCCCTCACGCCTCTTCCAATGAGCTAAAAAAACAATATATATCCGCAAATCAAGCTGATTATGAACAGAAGCACAAAGATCAGCCCTCACACCTCGTTACTTGATGGTTTGTGACAGTTCAACCCCCATTCTCTTCCCATCCAACTGCCATATGGTTGGTTCCTCCTTTGGACATGTACTGAAAAGAGTTACTAATTCCAGAATTGATCCACTGTTTATTGGGTTTACATTTTTCGTTGCAACTCTTGAAGTTATGGATTCAGTACTAGCTTATTGAACACGGAGGTGAAACTATTCTTATTTATATGCACTTTGATTCATCTAGAAATTTCATCAATTTCTAGAGTTGCTTAATGGGCATGAATATCAACATTCAAATAAGGAATTTCTAAATATTCAGACTAGGAAAACTATTTTACCACATGTTTTCCTATGTTTTAGGAAGCAAAGGTGTTGTTGTGATTTCAAATTTTTTGGACACAAATTGTAGTGGTAGCCCATGGGAAGTAGTATTGATTAAATTGTTATTGGATTTCTATACACAAATTTTAGTTTGCTTAAATAGGTGTTAAAATAATTTTTTTGGTTGGGTTTCCAATGATAAGACTTGTCGTTACTGTCCCTGGTGGCACAAGTTCGAGTCATGGAAATAACCTCTCCAAAAATGCGGTAAGATCCCAAATCCTATTTTAGCAAACCCTATTTAATGTCTTTAATTAGAAAAAACCCCTTCTTAATCTATATGACATCATTAACTATTCTAAATTCATTAGGAATGGTTTACATAACTTTCAAAGCTTTTGAAGTTTTTTTTGGGATTGTGTAGTGCAACCTGAACAATAGCTATGGTGCCTAATGGGGCCTAGGAGTGATTCCTAGGTTTATCAGATGGTTCATCAAAGAGACAACTTGAATCACCCATAACTATGAAAGAAATTTGAATTTCCTGTTCACAGCATCTAAACAGTGTCTGAAACAGTCCCAGAATATCCCCAACCCTTTTTATCTTCTTATCCTAATTAGAAGCCCAAACCCTGCCCTATTGCTACCCTTACTCCACTACAAATTCTCCATAACTTTGATTGATCTTCCAGCAACAGGAACCAATAAAATCAGCACCAAAAGATCTCAAACTATGCTGCCTCATGCTAATTCTAGCTCACAGCTCGTATGAGGGTGTCCCCACACTAGTTCTGAAACAGCTAGATTACCCATGCCATTGCAATCTAATGCTTTGCTCATTGTAGTTGATTTTTCTTGGAAAAGAAAGGAGAGTGTGGTTGGGGACCCTTTCACAAAATTGAATCTCAAGATTTAATGTCACAATTTAACTTCGTCTGCTGTTTTATTTTCATGGCTTGCAATGCAGAAATCTTTCCAGATTTCCATTCTCTTAGGTTAAACATATTTTACCAAGGGCTTATATTTATCTGTAAGGATATCTGATCTGTTCTGTAGTTTATTGAATATGATGTGAACAAGTGATTATTTGATGTTTCAGACCCTGAACTTTGGGAGATGCTACCGAAAGGGACTCGTTCTCTACTAGTACAACCAGTGCCACACACTCCGAAAGGCAATGCTAATCAGGTGGAGAAGAAAGAGGGGTTTGTCCTGTTGGTTTCTAGCATCAGTTATGCATATAGTGATAAAGACAGAGCTTGGATAGGAGCTGTTGCTAACAAATTTGAAAGTAAAAACATTTTTTCTGATTTATAATGAATCATCATTGATAACCCCAAAAAAAATAAATCATCATCTTCAGTGATCCATATTGTGCTTAAATCAATCAATCAAGAGAAGGTGCTCCAGTTTTTTTCCTAATTTGGCATGATGATGGAACTATTTATCATCTCTTTGTGAGTTGTGAGCTTTTTGCATTAGTAGCAGGTATTGGGTTAATATGTTCCTCTTGATAATCTTTAGTCAATGAGTATATTATTTTAGGATGACTGTTTAACAAAATGAAGCCATCAATCGGTAAACAAATCTTTGTGCTCCAAATGAGTTTTGCTAAGGAGTCTTCTTCTTCCTATAAACCCATCAATAGGATACTGATAAAGCTTTTTACACTAAATCATCACTTCAGAATCCCTCTTGGCCTTCCAAACAAGAGAAAACATTATCAAATGTGGCCTTACTAGAACATTACAATCTGTGTCTATCCTAACAAGCTGCTGTCTCATATTCATTGATAAGTCTTTCAAAGCCAGACATACTAGGTGTTGAGCATAGACAAAGGAATACATTAACTAGAGGCGAACTAGCAGACCACACATAACAGTGAATTTTGATGTAACCACCACAAACCTTTTTTCTCTAAAGATGTAAACCCTACATTTTATCATGGCTCATATTTTACCATGGTCTATATTCTCACCTCAAACCCTCTTTGAAATTGATCCTCAAGGTTGAATTTGTTTTTCTATGGCATATGGTATATTATACCAAACAATTGTTAGTATATTTCTTTGTTTCCTTGTTTAGATTAGATTGTGATTCCTTAATTAGTCAATCGGTCAATCAATCAATCAATATAAAAGGTGATTCCTTAATTAGTGCCTTAGGGCTTCTTTTTGTAACAGTTGATTGATTAATATAAAAGGTAATGATATCATAATCATCACCCAAGCTTTGTATTCTCTTAAATTATATGGTATCAGAGCCAAAACCCTAAAAATCGTCACCCACACAGCCACTGCCACTAACCAGCTGTCACCTATCATCACCCATCCTCCACTGCTGGTCCCTAAGTCTTTGTCGGAACCAACCAAGGTCCCACAGAGTTGTTTCAGCTTCAGCCGAAGGCCCCTTTGGCCTAATCAACCCTTGTGAGGGCTGTCCTAGCCTCTCTGTGTATTTCGGCTCCTGTGGATGAGTGTTTAAGGGCTGCCCATCTTCTGTTGCCCCAAGTTTCTTTCATCTACTTTCTTGAACACAGTTCAGCACTGATTTTGATTAGAGGTTCATTTTTCCCGTGTTTGATTTATTTTTTGGGTCCATAGATGACCTATTAATCTAATTGTCATAGTGGTCTGTATGTGATTTTACTTGTTCTAGCCAATTTCATTCCTCTTTCCATTCTTGTGATTCATGCAAGGTTTTTTGGATTGAAATTGTAGAGTTGTTATGGCTGACTTGACTGGTGAATCCACAACTACTTTTCACCCATCTAAAGGGGAGAACTCCAGTTCAATTATGACTACTACATCTAGGAACCTAAACCCTAGCCTCAAAATCACCACCGCTCTGTTTAATGGTCAGAATTACCCTTTATGGTCTCAGTGTCAGACACTTTTTCTGAAGAGTAGGGGAAAGATGGGATATGTTAATGGGAGAGTTCAAGCACCAAATATTACGGATCCTGGCTATGACTAATGGGAGATTACGAACTCTTTAATCATGGGGTGGCTCATTCATTCCATGGTTCCTGAGATTGGTGAAGGCTATTTATCCATGGATACTGCCAAGGATATTTAGGGTGTGTTTGGTAACGTTTACGTTTTCAGTTTATATTTACAAAAATTTTATAAACTGGTTTTTGTTTATTTTTTGTTTATTTTTAGAAAAACATAAACTACAAACGCGTTTGGTAATTAACAAAATATTTAAAAAAAATTTAAAATATAAAAAACTGCCAAGGATATTTAGGAAGCAGTCGCTACTACATATTCTCGGAAAGACAATTTTTTTGTGTCTTTTGAGTTGCGCCGGTCTATTGAGCGCTCAGTACAGGGGAAGCAGACAGTTCTTTCGGGCAATTACTTAGAAGTACATTTTGTGCAACAGCCTTTCCTACCTGATAGAAAAGGATCCCATGATCCTGAACTGATCTTACCTGGGATCGAAAATCCCAAGTTTGTCTATGAAGAGCGGATCTAATTGTATTAGTATCTATAATTGATTTATTCTGTGTAATTCTAATCGATAGGGCCTCATTGGTAAGTGCTAGTAGATCTCGTGCATTGGAACCCATGGTTATGGACCCGAATCCATTAGTATGGAAAATTTTCTTTTCTAAGTGAAATCTCCTAGTATATGAAACAGTGAAAAAGTGCTTTCGTTGTTATGGAATAAGAAGCCTTCGTATCGTAATGAATGTATTTAATTTATTCGGAGCTGTTAGAGCAGGACCACTTTTTGGGGAATGAGTCGAAGCAATAAAAAGAATATTTCTGACTAATGGTTGGAAACGCCTAGATCATCTCCTGAAGTATAAGCCTATCTGTACAGTTGATTCAGTTGGTTACCAGAAGTTTTTTTACAGAGGAGAGGGTCTTCAAGTTTTTGGAAGGCCTCAATGTGGAGTTTGATCCGATTCGGAGTTGTGTCATTGGCATGGAGTTTTTCCATCTCTTTAAAAGGCCTTCGAATATGAACAAAATGAGGAGATTCGTCGTTCTACTATGTTACCACTGGCTACTGGAGACCGTTCAACATTACTTTTTTTCCTTCTCGAGATGGGGCTAGTTTGTCATTACCCCATTTCCATCCTTCAAGGAAGGATATTGTGTTCTGTGATTACTGTCGCAAGCCGTGGCATACTCATAAGACGTGTTGGAAACTTCATTGGGCTCTATTAGGGAGTCGGGGTGATCGGTCTGGTACTAGAGACGGTCAATCAGGCTAGTCTAGAGGATGTGGCTCTAATCCACGAGCCCATCAGTCTAGTGTTGTTGACACTCTTGATTTTACTTCTGCTTCAGTTGGTCCAACTTCTAATAGTTTATCTAGCATGATTTCTCCTGAGCTTGAGGATGTTCTGTGTCATTTGCTGGCCTGCCGGTCTTCTATTGCTCCCAATGCATCTTCCTTATCGTTTGCCTGTTCAGGTAACTTAGCCTCTTCTCCTAATGTTTTTCTTTCCCATAAGTCTTTGCGATGGATTATTGATTCTGGTGCCTCATATCATATGTCTGGGTCTTCAAACCTTTTCTCAGCATATAAGCCCTCTTCAGGTCAAGACAAAGTTAGGATGGTAGATGGTACTGTTTCTTCTATCTCTGGGAAAGGTTTAATTCATGTCACCCTTACCTTACTTCTGTCTTTAGTGCTCCACGTTCTCAATTTTTCTGTTAATCTTTTATCTTTGAGTCGCATTACTAAGGATTTGAATTATAGTGTGACATTTTTTCCTGATCATTGTCTTTTTCAGGACCTTGTCATGAGGAGGACGATTGGTAGTAGTAGTGCAGAAAATGGTCTCTATCTTTTGGATCAGACAAACAAGCTTGCTCATCATTCCATCCAGTTCCCAACCACCAAGGAGGATTTATGGCTGTGGCATCAGCGTCTTGGGCATTCTTCTTTTCATTTACTTAGGCATTTATTTCCGTATGTTTTTACAAACAATAATGTGTTTGAGTTTTTATTGTGAGTCTTGTTAACTTGGCAAACAACACTGAGCCTCTTTTGCTCCAAGTCTTAATAAAAGTTGGGGAACTTACTGATAAGTCCCATGTACCAAGTTCAAAACAAATGGTGTCCACATATTCCACATGGGACCTGTGGGTAATTTCCCCATAAAAGTTTAGCTCCTTTTTCTTTGATACATTCTGATGTGTGGCGTCCATCTCTTGTTGTGTCTTTAAAAGGCCATAGATGGTTTATTACCTTTATCGTTGATTTTTCTCGTACTACTTTGGTGTATTTCATGAAAGAAAAAAGCAATGTTTTCTCCGTGTTTCAAAATTTTCATAAAATGATTCAGTATGTTTGGTTTCAGTTTTCTAAATTCAGTTTTGTGAAAGCTGAGTTTTTTGTTTTTCGTGTTTTTTTGTTTTTAGTAAATATTTTTAAAATTTTAAGCATTTTTGTTTTTACTTTTTTAGATGCACCTTACTTAAATGTATCTAAAAAGTAAAATATTTGTAAAAAAATATTGCAAAAAATTAATAAATTCACAAAAATACGAAAAATATACTGAATTTTGTATTTTTGGTATTTAATGAATTTTTTAAAGATTGTTTTTATGAAAATTATACTTTTTAAGTGTATTTATGTTAGGTCTGTCTAAATATTAAAACAATTGCATAAAATATTTAAAAAATTCAGTAAAAATAAAAAAATACAAAAAACAAGAAAATATAATTTTTTGAAAAGTGTTTTTAAAAAATCCAAACCAAGAAAAGTGATTTGTACTCAGTTTGGGGCCATTGTCAAAATCTTGCGTTTTGATAATGGGGGTGAATATATCGATTTGGGGTTAGAGAGCTATTTTTTCACTTGTGGCATTATATATCAAACATCTTGCACCAATACCTCTCAACAAAATGGGATTGAGCACAAGAATTGTTATCTTTTTTATATGGCTTGCTGCATGTGTTTTTCTATGAGTGTGCCTCAGTCCTACTAGGGTGATGATGTGAGAACCAATACCCCTCAACAAAATGGGATTGTAGAGCGCAAGAATCGTTATCTTCTTGATATAGTTCACTGCATGTGTTTTTCTATGAGTGTGCCTCGGTTCTACTAGGGCGAGACGGTTCTCACCACAGCCTATCTCATTAATCGTCTTCCTACCCAGGTTTTGCAAAAACAAGCTCCATTTCAAGTCTTTTTCGGTTCAGAGTCTTTGTTTTCCATTCTCCCGTAAATATTTGGTTGTGTCTGTTTTGTCCACAATCATTCTCCTACTTATGGTAAGTTAGACCGTCACTCTCTCAAGTGTGTTTTTCTTGGATACTCACCTACTCAAAAGGGGTATAAGTGTTATCACCCTCCTTGTAAGTGGTTTGTGTCTATAGATGTCACATTCTTTGAGTCCCAGTCCTATTTCTTGTCTTCTCCGTTGTTACAATCATCCTTTCAGGGGGAGCCTTGGTGTGAAGAGATTCCTGTTGTCCCTGTTGCTCCCATGGTGGAGCCAGTTGCTCCTGCACCACCTATTATTGGGGCTATAGAATCCAATGCCACCAAGGACAAGGAATGACAAGTTTATGTTAGAGACAAAGACACATAGAAAATTACTTGGCTACAAGAGACCACTTTTGCTCACTTATTGCCATCTCCTACTTTTGATAAGAGTTCACGTAACTTTGAACTCTTGTTTCTCTTGAGTCTACTGATATTGCTATTTCTGACACTACTAATCTTGATATTCCTATTGTCAAGAGAAAGGGTGTGAGATCTTATACTCAACATCCTATCTCAAACTTTGTGCCCTACTGTCATTTGTCTTCCTTGTATAGAGCCTTCGTGTCAAACATTTCCTCTATTAGTATTCCTAACCATTTTTAGGATGCTCTTGCTATCTCTAAATGGAAACTTGCCATGATTGAGAAAATGAAGTATTTTGTAAGAATGGCACTTGAGAATTAACTGAGTTACCTAAGGGCAAACGACTGATGAGATGCAAATGGGTTTATACTGTGAAGCACAAAGCAGATGGTTCCATTGGGCATTACAAGACTCGACTTGTGGCAAAAGGCTTCACTCAGACCTATGGAGTAGACTATCAGGAGACTTTTGTACCAATGATTAAGACGAATTCAATCAGAATATTTCTCTCTCTAGCAACTAATTTAGATTGCCCACTTTATGAGTTTGATATAAAGAATGCTTTCTTACATGGTGATCTAGAAGAAGAAGTATATATTGACATTCCTCTTGGTTTTGAGGATCATCAGACATAGGGTAAAGTATGCAGGCTTCAGAAGTCGTAATATGGTCTCAAACAGTTTCCAAGTGCTTGGTTTGAGAGATTCACTCAGGTTATGCTTAAATATAGTTTCAAACAGAGTCAAACAAATCACACTTTGTTTGTGAAACATTCCTCACGTGATAAGATTACAACTCTCATTGTTTATATGGATGATATAGTGCTTACAGGCGATGATAGTAAGGAAATACCCCTGTTGAACAAATATTTAGCTAGTAAGTTTGAAATCAAAGACTTCGGGAACTTGAAATATTTTCTGGGAATTGAAGTTGCTCGCTCTAAGGATGAGATTTTCATCTCACAAAGGAAGTATGTACTTGACCTTTTGAAGGAAACAGGGATACTTGGATGTAAGGCTTGTGATACCCCATTGGAACCTAATCAGAAACTTGGTGATGATGAAAGAGGAGTAGCTGTTGATAGGGAGAGTTATCAGCAACTAGTGGGTAAGCTCATTTACTTATTTCATTCTCGTCCTGATATTATTATTGTTGTTAGTATGGTTAGCCAGTTTATGTATGCTCCTCATCAAATTCACTTAGAGGCTGTTATGAGAATGCTGAGGTTCTTGAAATCTTCTTCTAGAAAGGGTCTTTACTTTTCCAAACATGATTACCTCAAAGTGGAAGTCTATACAGATGTTGATTGGATAGGGTCAATAATTGATAGGAGATTTACATCAGGATATTGTACACTTGTGGGCGGCAATCTTGTTACTTGGAGGAGTAAGAAACAGAATGTGGTGGCTATATCGAGTGCAGAAGTTGAGTTTAGAACTATGTCACAAAGTGTGTGTAAACTCTTGTGGATCAAACTGTTGTTAAGTGATTTGGGGATGGGCCAGACAAACTCTATGCGGCTATATTGTGATAATAAGGCAATTTTGTTCAACATGACAAGACAAAGCATGTTAAGATTGATCGTCACTTCATCAAGGAGAAAACTTACCAGCGGCATGATATGTACTCCTTTTGTGAAGTTAGGCAAAAAACTTGCAGGTATCTTCACCAAGGGAGTTGGGAGTAAACTATTTCATGACATTCTAAGTAAGCTGGGCATGCAAAATATCTTCGCACCAGATTGAAGGGAAGTGTTAGAATATTTCCTTGTTTTTCCTTTGTTTAGATTGGATTGTGATTGATTGATTGATTGTGATTCCTTAATCAGTCAATCAATCAATAAATATAAAAGGTGATTCCTTAATCAGTGCCTTAAGGTTTCCTTTTGTAATAGTTGATTGATTAATATAAAATGTGATGATATCATAATTATCACCTAACTTTGTATTAAATGACAACAACTTCCTTCCCAATAACTCAGATAGTTAAGATTTACTTCTGGTCAAGTCTCCTACGATCATCATAAGAACCCTGTACAAATTAATGATAACGAATACAATTAGTGCCTCGTTCTTTTGAGAATAAAATAATAATTGGAAAACAGAAAGGGATCAACTTGCTGAATTCTCAAAAAAATTTGGAAGTGGTTTCTATAGGAACATTAACTTATGTATTTTAAACCATGTGTTGAGTTCCTTAAATTCATCAAGAATCTTCTAGTCTAGTAATAATGGAAAGGCTCTAGGATTCAACATTTCAACTTTTTGCTTATGTTCCAGAGTGTAGCTGAAGATTTACGGATACTGAAACTGTGTTGGGGATGTAAGTCAGGACATCAACTTCACGTCTCTATTGTAACTGAAGCTTGGCTTAAGCTTTCCCGACATTGTCTTTCTCTGTATGTGTCTCTCTCCTTCATACTGAAATTATTCTGTACATCAATTTACACTCGCACAATCTACCATTTTACCCCATCATACTGAAATTATTCTGTTAAGCTTTTGATAATGCTTAAATGTATATTTTAAGCTCTCTTACTTCTTTCTTATTCCTTAATCTGCTTGTTTTCAACTGGACGTTTGCCTCACTTCCTTTCTCACAGCCTCCATATTGTCAGCCCTCGAACTATACTGTTGTTTCCTACTACACTAGGCTGAGGTTGCTAGCACGAGTTTCATGATTCTCTGAACACAGGTTTTACTTGTTTGATTTCCATGATTATGTCACTTACGTTGATGGTCTAATCATCGTGAAGGTAGCACTGTGACTCCTGAGTACATCAACATAATTTCTTTTTAGCTTCATGAAATCAAGCTGTAAACTCAACACTTCTAGAAAATTATCCTGGAGCTTTCTTACTTTTGTCCTTGTTAAGGTTGCAATTTTGTTCTTCATATGCAAGACTTCTCTAAACAGCTTCCCATCTTATTGTAAGCCTTAAAAATGTTATAATGCATAATCCCTGAAAGAAGTAGTTATTTTTGCATGGTTTCTTGAAGATCTTAGTGTCCGACTGACAATGACATCTTCCTCTTGTTAGAGTTCTACAGTAATTATTAGAACTGTTTTTTCTGGCAAATGCCATGAAATGGAAAGTCATGGCAGACATCAATGTTCCATGGCTTTCATAGTGATACAACAATTAAAAAAAAAAAAAAAAAAGTTACGCATATATAAAAATCAGTTTGTTATTTGGAGACATAAATGTATTAATATTTAGAGATTTAGGGTTATATTTCTATTGACATAATGATGTAGCACATACAGGTTTGAAGCAAGTATAAGCTAACTTAGGGTTAGGTTTGACATAATGATGTAGCACATACAGGTTTGAAGCAAGTATAAGCTAACTTAGGGTTAGGTTTAGTGAAAATAATACCAAGGGCTTGGTTATGAATGGTTTGGGTTTAGGGAGAAAAGTATTTGGTGGAAAAATAAAGATTGTTTATGGGCTGCAAATAGTAATTTATGAACAGTAATAGAACAAAAAAGAAGAAGATGATGAAAACTGGTAATCACTCCTAGAATCCCTTAGGCATCACACCTAGGTTTTTTGGGTTGCATCACACAAACCCTAAAGAGGCTCAAAGCCCTAGAAAATTATGTAAAATATGATTATCATTATATTAGAAGCAATACATAACTTTATATAGAACTGGAGACAACCTTAACCAACTAGAACCAAAAAGGAAACTACTAAAGCCAAAAAAAAGAAACTACAGAAAAACTTTAAATTCTAAAACCTAATTAATATCAAATAAAACTCATGAACATATTAAACCAATATCAACACCCATGGGTCACTACGACGACCCATTGTTGGGACCCGTTCTAAAAATTCGACAAATTACAAACATACCCTTGACCTTGAAACATAAATATGAATAGAGGAAAGACTCAAACTAACTTATTCTAGTTCCCAAATGGGCCCGGCATCATTCAACACATGCCAAATCAAAACTTGAGCCTTAGAAGCATCTTTGCCATGCTGTTTATAGACTTTAGTATTACACTGCCGCTTGTCTCCATCACATAAGGATCTCGTTTCAAAGTGATGATAATTTTGAAGTGCACTTTTCATGGGAAGAAAATTTGTATGTGGCCTAATCATGTCGTGATCTCTTAAATTTTTGTTGGTAGCTCGCGAAGGTTTTGGACGAGGATGACATAGAAGTTTCCACATTCATGTGACTTATTTATGGTTACAGCTATGCTGCCCTATGGAATAAGATGACGTGGGAGATTTTGTATTCATGTGATATTTCTTTGTGGGCTTCTTATACTCAACTTAACTGAACAAGCTTTTGTCCCAAATTTGGGGTTGGCTTCTTGGATGCATTTCCTACTATTGGTTCTATTAACATACATATCTTTAGGTAAGTTTAATTAAGATAGTCATGTCATTTCTTATCACTTCAATCAAAGTTCTCCTTGACGTTCCTCTGTTTTTACTTTTACTACCCTCAACGAAATCAAATCGCTTATCTTTACAAGGATATTAAATGGGCTACAATGCAAATGACGATGCCACTCCTCTTTGTAGATGCTTTAATCGTTTATTAAGCTTGCACTCAATAAGCAAACCTCAAACATTTAGGCTAAAAATTGGAATGTAAAATATGTTTGAAGTAGTGAAGTATAAAATTACATTTAGTCCCCATTTGATGGGGTCTAGGGGAGTCTAGGAGTGGTGAATCAATTCAAACAATTTTAGCATGGGAGTCGAGGGTTGTGAATCCCTCTCTTGACCAATATTTGAATTTCGTAAACCTTTGTGATACAAGAACAGATGCATAAGTGTTTTATTTTTTATTTATTATTATTATTTTTTTACGGTGTGTGTAAAGGGGTGGCGCCCTGTTTGTACCAATTTTGGCATGGTGATAGGAACATGGCTGTGAACACCCCATTTGGGCTGGTTATAAGTTATGCAATATATAATATATTTTCACAAATCCAACCCTCAGCAGAGGTTGAAGGACTCACCTAGGGCAGAGAGACAGGTGGGTGCGAGATAACAAAGAATCAAATTAGATTTTATAGAACAACAATGCCATTGAGAGGCTATGGGTTGGTACAGAATACAAAACTTACAGCTGAGAAAAATAGAACCTCAAAAATCTGTTTCCTGATTCTGAAATGCCACTTTCAAAGATCTATAGAGTAATCTAATGGATTTATGGATCTTTTTCCTGTGCAAGCTCTATGAACAAATCCAGTAAACTGATCTAAGCTTTTTCTTGACTCTGAAAGCAAATCCCTAATAAAAAAGAACTTTGAAGGATGTCACTACCATTAGAGAATTGTAATGATGTTTAGCCAAAATTAGTATCCAAAAAAACAAAAGATAAAGAGTTAATAGAACATTATTAGAGTGGAGAAAGAAAAGTTTGTGGCAATGCTAAGATGCAGTAGTTAAGGAATCGATTCATTGCAGATTTGAAAGAGTGAGACAGGATGCTTCTATGGCATTGAGCAAATCACAAGACGAGAGATATTTGATAATAGGGGACAATGAATCGGTTTTATTAAGCTAAACAAAACGACGTTGTCCCCAGTATACAGGCTATAATAATAATAATAATAATAATAATAATAATAATAATAATAGATTTTGCAGACATGAATCTTAAAGTAGATTGAATACATGTAAGATCACGTGTATTTGTAGCCCTCTAAACTAATTTAAAAAGGCAGAATGTGCCATTTTAAGTACAAATAAGATGAGATCAAGGTTCTGATTGAACTCAATATGGTGCAGAATTCAACCTTGATATTATAAGTAGGTTTAAGTTGGTAGATGATTTGGCTTGATAAATTATGATATGCGACTTATTGGAGGTTTAAATGGACTGTATTTTGAAGGAAAAAATTTGTGCTACCAAGGATCCATTTAGCTCTCCATAAAAGGTTAACAAACAAAACGCATAGAGGAAGTGCGTTATGTCGGATCCTCATGTCAAACACCAACGGTCTGTAGACTTTAAAAAGCATGTCTGACATTTCTTCAATATATCTTAATTAGAAACTAAGATTCATAATATCAGACACTTTATCGATACTTCTGTGACACGTTTTAAGCCCATCAAACACAATTTATGTGATAAATCTGTTCATAGTAACACCATTTTGCATTATTTGGAATGCAATTTTGAAATATTTATTAGATAAATACATCATGTGTATTTTAATAATCTACAATTGTTTTGTATTTTTTAGAATTAAATTGTTTTATGAATGATATTTTGATATCTAAGTTATGAAATATATGACTTTTTATAACAAAATCAAGATTTTTCATTATCTTTGAAATAAGCTATTCATATAAAACAATGCCCAATTAGTACACAATAATGTGTGTTTGGGAGGAAAAAGATTGGTACACACCTAACCTTTGGCATAGTGCATAAAGTGGTTGCCCCGAGACTTGAACCATTACCTCAAGGTTATTGGGTCAAGGTTTTACCATTGAACCAATGGTCTTTGAAATACACTATTCATATATTTAATATAAAATAAATTTATAAAAATATAAAATTTAACGTGTCACAGGCATATCATGTCGTGCAGTTTTTGAAATCACCATGTCCACGTGTCCGTGTTGTTTCGTGTGTTAGTGTCTGTGTCACTTAGCTTGTTTGGTTCTAAAAAATATTAAAAGAATAACAAGACACATTTGAACGAGTGTTCAACAGTTTAAAAACAATGCAGGCTATGCATATAACTATGATTTTACTTTCATCTGTTAATGTTACATGATTGAGCCAAGCTTCAATTGAACTCCACCATCAGTTTAGATTCTGTCAGAGTTAACTACAACATATTTGAAAACGATTGGTTACATACTGAGAAGCATGGACACGTGACACGACACGGATACGATACGGACACGCTGACACGTTAATTTTCAAAAAATACAGGACACGATACGTGGGGGACATGCATGAAATATATAATTTTATATATTTATTATATATGATATATATAAATATATCATTCAAATATAATATAAAATGCAATGTGACATTAATTTCTATAAATTTATATGGGTTTTGTTTTATTATTATATCTTAAATTGTTGTATTCAAACTTATAATTAGTTTCACATGTGTCTAATCGATAGACACGTGTGTTTAAATGATTGACACGTATCCTCCAAGTGTTCAAAGAGTGTTTGGATCTTTAAAAAAAATTTAAAAATAGGACACGTTTTGAAGAGTGTCAGACACGTGTCCTAAGAGTGTCCAAAGAGTGTCGGTGTCCGACACGAACACGACACGGATACGTCACCTTCTTAGAAGTGTCCATGCTTCTTAGGTTACATAATATCTCAATTAGAAACTGCTCAAAAAATCCTCTTTCTCTTGTCTTGGTTTCTCCCTTCACCTTCCTCTTCATATATCCGTGTACATGACAACATAACGTGGTGTCATGGACAGTCCACCAAACTGAAACCAGAAGTTATGTTCTACAAAAACTTCTCCAAGCCATACACCAGATTCTGCAGACAGAAAAAAGGAAGAAAGAGAAATTCTTGCTGAGTCCAAAAAAAAAAAAAAAAGTGATTGAAGAAACTAAAAGAAAATAAATATATATATATATATATATATTTTATTCAGATACCTTAAGGCGAACAACTTTTCTTATAGCAAGGATTAGGCCTGGCATGAGACATTGTACATCTGTGATATCATGTTTGAGGGAATAAACCTGTGACCAACAGTTAGTTAACCGATGAGATTACTATGTTAAAGATGGTGTCATTCCATGCGAATACTTCTCTGCGGGAATGAGTAGGCCCCCAACAGTGCTAGCATCACAGAAATAAAACACAGAAAATGCACAAGTGCATTGTGTGGCTGGCATTCATTCTAAGTGGCTCACACTACATCCAAAATGAATTTTAAACGCACAATACACATTATGTGTACTTTTTTGTGTCCTATTTCTATGCACTTCGCATTATTGCTAAGCCCCCCCCTCCCCCCCAATAAACGCACCTCTCCTGGAGCAGAAAAGTAAACTGTTGTACTGGATGGGAGCCCCGGAAGAACCAAGCTGTGCACACGGACTCCATCTTCTCCCAGAACTTGACCCCTTGCCTTGGATGACAACAAAAAGAGTATGATTAAATTCCTGTATTTTCTTTCCATTTTTTGAATGTTGATTTTAAGTTCTAATCTGACAAACAATTAATTCACCAATATGATTCAGTTTTGAGTTTCTCCTTACTGAAACATCTGTTGAAATATCTTCTCTATTGTAGATCTGACCGAGGTTGGAGAGGTTGTTGGCAATTTGTATTGCATCCTGTGATGGAAAATCCTGTCCACCAACAATTCCAGTGCCATAAATACTTGTATGCAAGGTATTTGATATCTCTCTTTAGGTTGTCTAAATAGAAAAGTTATTTATCAAGAAAAAAAAAGAGTGGCAGAAAAGTTAATTCAAAGTTGTTTTCTGTATCTATATTTGACTGCATATGAATATATATATATATATATATTTGATAAATAGGCTGCATATGAATATGTATATACTTATGGGAAGTGCTCAACTCAAAAAGCCTGGAATGCAAACTAGTTGGAGTGGATAGGAACTTACAGTGAAGAAAGATGAACTTTCATATATAATTTACAACTTAAATGATGTTTTAAATGATGTTTGACATAAAATATGAGGTTGAACAATAGATTTCTCATAGACACGTCTATTTTTTTATTTTTTATTTTTGCATTTGGATCAAGCAAATCCACTGTATGTTTGTTGAAAACAGCAGCTCTATTTTGAAATTTATGGAAACAGAGGAGAGTGTGCATGCTGTTCAAACTCCAAAAGACTAATATGCTAAAAATGTATAGTAAATATAAGGCTTGAAGAGGGCCACGAAACCATGTGGGTTGCAATAGCATAATTGGAAAAGAAGGGTAGAAAAATTAGGCAAAAGAAAACTGGATCCATCATTGAGATGGGTCCGCGGAAACCCTTTGGATAGATTATCTCTGTCGGCATTTTTAAAGATGAAAATGGCAATGCAATGTGTTGGAACCATTGGATGTCAACGTTTTATAGTGCTTGCTTCAATGTTGATGGGTAGGGCATAAGTACCCTCAACCCTCAACCAAATTATAGAAACAAGAAGTCTCACTCAACTCGCCATTGTTGCAATTCTTTTGCATCTCTAACCTCTGGTTTTGAATGTTGAGTTCTTAGATGTGAGGTGTCTCGTGTTTATCAAACTTCATCATAAATTCATGAGTCCTATGAAACACTGATACAGTGCTCTTGTAATAAAGTGAAATATCAAAAGTGTTTCACATGGCAAGACATTCTAAAAAATAAGTGTATGATTAACTCAAAACATGTTTGAATGATTTGAAACTTCATGTAATCTAGGTATATTTAAAAATAAAAATAAAAAAATGTTGAGAATTATCTCAAATCAAAGTAAATACTGAATATGATGTTTTGATTTTCATAAAAAATTTTGTTATTGACTTACTATTGCATTTGCTCTTGATTCAACAATCTCCACATTGTTGTAGTGGAAAGAAGCTGAAATTGCAGCTTGCTGGAGAAGTATAGATCCTATGGACAAAGTCGGTGCAATTAGACAGCCCTGCCATTTGCCAAACATTATAATTTAACGAAATAAATAAGTTCATAAAAGTTTTGATCAGATGTAAAGAAAGCACAAATAATTATAACAAATGAGAACAAGGGAAAGGAAAAAAACACAACATGAAATAAAAGTGTCTCACCCTGTGCTCACCATGCTGGCCTTCTCACAGAATGCAGATAATGCGGCTACCGTGTCTAACTTAATGCGAGGCACATAAACAACACTTCTCATGCCAAATGCTGTTGCCTATTGGAAATACGAAGAGCGGAAAGAAATGAACCATGCACATAGTATCATTTCGGAATGTCATTGCTTGAATATGTAAAACAATCTGATTATAATGTTGGTCAAGACAACTAACCTGTTTTACATTATCATAAACTGTGGAAGGGTCAGTGAAATCCACCACCACCGCAGTTTCTTTTAACTGCAACAAATTGCATTAAGTTTTGGTTTGATAACCCAGAAACAGATAAACCCCAAAAAACAAAACATAATAAATAAATTATTTGATTTGAAGAGTAATTGCAGTGCAATACCTGAGATATGGAACCCAAGACCATTGTGAGATCATTCATTATGGGTATTTCAAGAGGCTCTTCCATGTCGCAAACCTTTTAAAATGTGCACAAATTAGAAACGATTAGAAACACCAAAAGCTTCATGTCATGAAAGGAAATAAAATGAGAGTGAAAAGAATGAGAAACCTTTCCGATATCTTCACCGACAAAGTAAGAATCCACTGCACCAGCCACTTCCATCCCTCTGGCTTTTGTCACTGCCACTACTGCTGCCATTCCAATTTCCTTGGCTGCTCCATTTATAACTATCTATATATATATATATATATATTGTTGGTGAATAATAACCAATATATATAATATGTATATCTTAGTGTTCCTGTGTATTAGTGAATGCTATAATTCTGCGAGAAAACGTAAATGAGAGAGACAATGGACAATGGAATTGCACCTTAATGTTGTTTTGAGGTGGCTGCATCGAGCAAGAGATAGACGGCCTTGATCTGACATTTTGATAAGTTGAATGGCTTGTGATATGAAATTGGCTGCTCAAGGTTGCCATGGCTGCTCTAATTCAAAGCTCTGTTTCTTGTTTTTCAGCTGAAATAGGTTTAAGCAACCAGGTAGATATGTTTTTAATTTTGTTACCATAGCTATTTCTAGTTTTCAAGATAAGGTTTCTGTGCCTTTTGTTTTGATAAGGCCTTGTTTGGAGGGATTGTAGAGACGGTGACATTATTGATGTTTCATTTTCTGGGTTTTACAATGAAGCCAAGAGCAAGTGGGGAGGGTACCAGTGACAACAGAGCTGGCAGCATCTGTTCCGGTAACATTTTTTTGTTTTTTGTTTTTTGCTTTATTTATTTTATTTTTATCATTATTATTTACATTTTTGTTTTCATTTTGCGACATACAAAGAACTCATAAACATAACACACCCTGTCTATCATGGGAATATTTGGGATTTTCTTAATTCAAACTTTTATTTTCTAAAACTATAAACATTAACATTGTGAAAGTACTTCTCTCTTACTATCTAAATGCAGTTGCATCTTTGCAGAACACATTGGACACTGACCAGCCAGATCTTAAAAAGAAAAATTGCTGACCAGTTTGTGTTGAAGAAAAAAAAATGTAATTTTGTTGCTACTTTTATTGTGTCAAAACATTTGTATGTCTATACATATTATGCATATTAAGTTTGGTACGAACATAAGTTTTGTTGTGCTTTGTGATTTTCCAAAATTGTCCCTCAAAACAAATCAAGATCAATGTAAATTTTGATCAGAAAATAAAGATAAGGAGACAGTAGGCTACAAATTGTATCCATACAAAAAGGTAAATGGCATTTTAGGTGCTCTCCTTGTTTCCTTATTAAAGCAATTCTATTTTTTATGTCAAATTATAACAATGCTAAAATTGATAATTGCTAGTCTCTTTCTCATAATGATGGGACTTACAAATAACATTTTATATTTGGCTATGTAAACATGTAATAAATTGTATATATATATATTATTAAAGCAACATTGTTAATAAATTGTATATATATTCAGGAACTGTAGCATTCCCGAAATTGGCTTTGGTATTGCCATTCACAAACCATTCAAAACAGGAAAGACAATTTGTCCTACCCTGCCCCACCCCCTGTTCCCTGCGCTTGTTGAGAATATAATGATGAAGTCTTCTTCTTTAACAATTTTAATTGTTAGATGGGTTGGTAGTCAATAATTTAATATGGTAAGCATGCAGCAGGTGTGTTTGAATCTGTTGGCCTAGTGGTATAGGCTTGGAAATTGAGAGTTTGCTCCCCTATAGGTCTTAGGTTCGAACCATCTAAGGTGCTATTAATCCATTGTTGGGCTAGTCCATATGAAGCTGTGCTTTGGCTTTAATTGAATCCCTCGCTAGGGGACGGTGGGATTAGTCCCTCAACGATTAATCGAGATGCGTGTAAACTGATTCGAACACCCTATGTTATTTTAAAAAAAGAAAAAGAAAAAAAAAGATGTGTTTAAATCTCACTGCCAATGCAATAATTAAAATGTTTGCACGTGCTTGGCTCGCTAAGAAGAAAAGTCTAACCACACATAAAGAGTCATGTTGAGAACAGAATACATATATATATATATATAACAATGTTGACCATTTATCTAATAACTTAAGTTTTTATATAAATTAATTGTCAACAATTCAATAGCTCTGTGTATTTTTCCTGCCTGATAAAAAAATGGAGAGGGGTCCCAATTTGTTGTCCCATCCCCAAACCTTGCTCCCATTATATTATTTAAATATCTTTGTATGTATATCTACATAATTCATCACTTATGAATCGTTTTGTCATTTCTTTTCATTAGAATTGCATTTTTTAGAATGAAAATTATCTTAACTTCGCACTACCCCTCCTCGACTATCTTCCTCAATTTTATTATCTCGTCATAGAAGACGCTATCTCCACCCTCATTGTCATTTCTAAGTGGAGATGCTTTGAGTGAAGGAAGCATAAAAGGAATTTTGGATTTGATGCTTGAATAGTCTAACATCAAAGTGGGAAAATTCCTCCTCACATATTTGATAATTGACTATATAAAAGTGAGGGAGGGAAGGACGTGTTTGCATCCTTCAGGGTAAAATTGTGAAGTGATCTAGTAAAGTGAAGTGATTGTGGCGCGACACTTGTCCCACTTGAAGAACCAAGGTCTAAGATCAAAACATTATCAAAACAACATCGTTTTGGTGAGGGAATTCAAAAAAAAAAAAAAAAAATTCTCTAAAAAAAAAAAAAAAAAAACCTTCTTCATTTTAGAACGTGATAGAGAGAGAGAGAGAGAGAGAGAGATTAGATTGGGTTTGTTTAGGCTTTTGATTAGGTGCACCATATTTTCAAAAATTCAAAAAAATTTATTTAATGAAAACAAATATTGCATGCCTTTTGAAGTGGGCATGGCATGAATAATCTCAATATCATGCAAAAATCCTCAAATCAAAATCCTAATTTTTTACCCTATTTTTTAAAAAAAAATAAATAAAATAAATCATGTAAGAAGTCCCAAATCAAAACTCTAAATAGATTTGAAGTAAATCATGTAAGAATCTCTCAATCAACCATTCAACAAACTTATATTATCATTACCAAGTAAAGAAAATCTAAAATTTTAAAATCAAACCCTACTATTTTAAGTTTGGAGGATGAATTTGTTGCTGTCTTTTGTATAATAACTTCTGCAAACACTCCCTGTTGGTGTGGACCAAGGTGGCAATACGGCGAGGGTGGGGCGGCGACTCCTCTTCAGGTGTTCCTCTTTCTCCCATTCTCTCTCTCTCTCTCTGAAGCGAAGAGGATTTTTTTTTTTTGGAATTCCCTCACTAAAACGACATCATTTTAGTAAGATTTTGATCTCAACCCTTGGTTCTTCAAGTGGGACATGTGCACTCCACAATTACTTTTCTTCATCAGATCACTTCACGGTTTCACTTTAGAGGATCCTTATACAGGAGGACTAGGACCTTAAGAAAGCATATGTGTAAAACACCCCTAAGAAAGCCAATAAATCAAGTGATAAATCAATCAATGTGTAATGTGTGCATTTTTTCATCCATTGTCTTCAAATAGACTTAAATCCGTCTTTTATTATGAGAAAATTATTTGACATTATTTTTATATAAAAAGTATAATGAACCACTTTCTATTGTTAAATATGTATATTATATATAAATATATATTTTTGGAGATTATTGAATGATGAATAGCAACCTTTGATCCTACACCAAATGATTTGGTGGAACACAAAATTCATCAGGATGGGGGGACCATCAATATTGTGGAAGCCCCGAAAAGATGAGTAAAGAAAAAAACAAAAAAACGAAAAGATAAGTAAAGAAAAAAACCAAAAAACAAAATCATGTGTGACGAAGCCCCGAAAGGATGAGTAAAGAAAAAAACAAAAAAACGAAAAGATATGTAAAGAAAAAAACCAAAAAAAACAATCATGTGGGACAGATCAGCCCATGGGTGTGTAATTCTGGCTCTACACTAATTGGTGGTCCCCCCAACAAAAAAAAAAAACTAATTGATGGGGTTGACGTCCATTAATCGATTTATGTATACTACTATAATTAACAAGTGAAGGTCTTATTTGGTGTAATAAAATATCTGTTCTCCTCGTACTATGTGATAATATTTTTTACTTTTTTTTCAAAAAAATCAAAGATACACGAAAAGATAAGCGAGGTTTGAATTCATGCCATAATTTTAAAATAAAAAGATTTATACCATTTAAATTATGTACGTATTATAATATTAATTTTATTATTATTTTCTTTTATTATTATTTATTTAAAATACACACGTTTCACGTGTGCTACCTATTAGTTTCTACTATAATAACATAAGTCATTAATTAATAAAAACCTTAGACGTTATTAACGACATATGGAGGGTTAATATTATTGACTTAGTGCAGTCAAAACATTTAATATCTAATATTAATAATAGATATTCTATTAATTGTATTAAAAAAATCATAGAAATGTGCACCAGAGAGAGAGTTAATGTGATTAAGGAATTTTTTGGGATAACCTAAATAAGTGTACTTTTTGTCTTTTTACGAAAAGATGTGCAGAAAAGTAGAGATGTGATGTGATGGAAAAAAGATAAAAAGATTGATTATTTTGGTGTTGCCAAACTTGGCCTAAAATTCAACTTATGTGTGATCAGAATTTTAACCACACATTAACTTTTTGTAAACATTTTTATGCATTTTTATAGATCACATATTTTCAAAGTATGTGTGATGTATTATATTTTGGTCTTTAATTTGTTAATTTTTTCAAGTTGATCCCAAAATATGTATTCTATAAAAATTTAGGAGATTTTTTTTAAGATCCCTGATATTAAGATTTTCTAATATAAAAGATATCCAATATTTTCATAATGTCTAAGGTTCCTCTAGTTGATCTAGAGAAAATTGGATCCAGAGAAATTCTTCAGAATTTCTTTGGACTTTCTAGAGAAATTCTCTCCAAAATCAGAGAAATTCCATTTTCTAACTCTCTACTTATCTCTCAGGCCCACTGCATCTTCTTCACCATCTTCATCACAGACCTCCAACCTAATAATATTCGAATTTTAAGTTTCTTCTCATTTCACACATTTTCTCAACAACCAAACACGCAACCACTGATGCAAAGTCTAGAGAAATTCTTAGCTCCCATAATTTCTCTGGACTCCCCAACCCTGAGAAATTCTCTCAAACCTAGAGGAATTCTCTCCAAAATCAGAGAAATTCCATTTTCTAGCTCTCTACTTATCTCTCAGACCCACTTCATCACCATCTTCATCACAGACCTTCAATCTAATAATATTCAAATTTTAAGTTTCTTCTCATTTCACACATTTTCTCAACAACCAAACAAGCAACCACTAATACAAAGTCAAGAGAAATTCTTTCCAGAATTTCTGTGGACTCCCCAACCCACGGAAATTCTCTTAAACCTAGAGAAATTCTCTCCAAAATTAGATAAATTCCATTTTCTGTGATTTCCAATATCTCTCAGACTCACTTCATCTTTTTCATCATCTTCATCACAGATTTTCAACCTAATAATATTCAAATTTTAAGTTTCTTTCCATTTCACACATTTTCTCAATAACCAAACATACAACCACTGATACAACAATCGACTAATCAATAAAGTATAAAAAACCCAATTGCGCAATTTTCACAATGACCATCATCATCATCTAAAACAACACTTAAATTCATCAATATTCATAGTTACATATACATATATATGTGTGTATAATTCACTTGAAAATAGGGCGGAGGAGGGAGGACGATTGGTGGACCCCAAGCTGGGGATTAAACAGAATCGTCGCTAATTCGCTCGCTAGAAGGGTCATCGTCGGAGAAAGAACCCAACGAGTGGGTTTGGTGGGTCTAGGCTTGATACAGGGCCAACCCGAATAGGGCTTCGGCCTCTCAGACCCACTTCATCTTCTTTATCATCTTCATCACAGAGCTTTAATTATAACTACCGGAGATGGAAGTTTCCGGCGAGAAGAGCAGAGATCGAGGACGAGCATGGGCATGGCGATGGGAATGGGGACAATCTAGAAGATCAAGACTGTTGCTTTAAAGAGATAACATTTTAGAGAAAGAAAGAGATGCAACGATGAGAAAAGAGAGGAGAAGAGATGAATTTAGCAGAAGAGTTTAGAGTGAGAGAGAGAAAAAAATGAGGTTTGATTTGAGAAATTTCTTTGTGATATATGAGTGTGAGGGTTGAGGGACCTT